GTGTGTGTGACACAGCATTGAAAACCTTTGTTTCGAGGATGGTAAGGGGGTGTGTGACACAACATTGAAAAAACCTTTGTTTCCAGGATGGTAAGGGAGTGTGTGACACAACATTGAAAACATTTGTTTCCAGGATAGTAAGGGAATGTGACACAACATTGAAAACCTTTGTTTCCAGGATAGAAAGGGAATGTGACACAACATTGAAAACCTTTGTTTCCAGGATGGTAAGGGTGTGTGTGACACAGCATTGAAAACCTTTGTTTCCAGGATGGTAAGAGGGTGTGTGACACAACATTGAAAACCTTTGTTTCCAGGATAGTAAGGGAATGTGACACAACATTGAAACCTTTGTTTCCAGGATAGTAAGGGAGTGTGTGACACAGCATTGAACACCTATGTTTCCAGGAAAGTAAGGGGGTGTGTGACACAACATTGAAAACCTTTGTTTCCAGGATAGTAAGGGAGTGTGTGACACAGCATTGAAAACCTATGTTTCCAGGAAAGTAAGGGTGTGTGTGACACAACATTGAAAACCTTTGTTTCCAGGATGGTAAGGGGGTGTGTGACACAACATTGAAAACCTTTGTTTCCAGGATGGTAAGGGAGTGTGTGACACAACATTAAAAACCTTTGTTTCCAGGATGGTAAGGGAATGTGACACAACATTGAAAACCTTTGTTTCCAGGATGGTAAGGGAGTGTGTGATACAGCATTAAAAACCTTTGTTTCCAGGATGGTAAGGGAATGTGACACAACATTGAAAACCTATGTTTCCAGGATGGTAAGGGAGTGTGTGACACAACATTAAAAACCTTTGTTTCCAGGATGGTAAGGGAATGTGACACAACATTGAAAACCTTTGTTTCCAGGATGGTAAGGGAGTGTGTGACACAACATTAAAAACCTTTGTTTCCAGGATGGTAAGGGAATGTGACACAACATTGAAAACCTATGTTTCCAGGAAAGTAAGGGGGTGTGTGACACAACATTGAAAACCTTTGTTTCCAGGATGGTAAGGGAATGTGACACAACATTGAAAACATTTGTTTCCAGGATAGTAAGGGAATGTGACACAACATTGAAAACCTTTGTTTCCAGGATAGAAAGGGAATGTGACACAACATTGAAAACCTTTGTTTCCAGGATGGTAAGGGTGTGTGTGACACAGCATTGAAAACCTTTGTTTCCAGGATGGTAAGAGGGTGTGTGACACAACTTAGAAAACCTTTGTTTCCAGGATAGTAAGGGAATGTGACACAACATTGAAACCTTTGTTTCCAGGATAGTAAGGGAGTGTGTGACACAGCATTGAACACCTATGTTTCCAGGAAAGTAAGGGGGTGTGTGACACAACATTGAAAACCTTTGTTTCCAGGATAGTAAGGGAGTGTGTGACACAGCATTGAAAACCTATGTTTCCAGGAAAGTAAGGGTGTGTGTGACACAACATTGAAAACCTTTGTTTCCAGGATGGTAAGGGGGTGTGTGACACAACATTGAAAACCTTTGTTTCCAGGATGGTAAGGGAGTGTGTGACACAACATTAAAAACCTTTGTTTCCAGGATGGTAAGGGAATGTGACACAACATTGAAAACCTTTGTTTCCAGGATGGTAAGGGAATGTGACACAACATTGAAAACCTATGTTTCCAGGATGGTAAGGGGGTGTGTGACACAACATTGAAAACATTTGTTTCCAGGATGGTAAGGGAATATGACACAACATTGAAAACCTTTGTTTCAAGTATGGTAAGGGAATGTGACACAACATTGAAAACCTTTGTTTCCAGGATGGTAAGGGTGTGTGTGACACAGCATTGAAAACCTTTGTTTTCAGGATGGTAAGAGGGTGTGTGACACAACATTGAAATCCTTTGTTTCCAGGATAGTAAGGGAATGTGACACAACATTGAAACCTTTGTTTCCAGGATAGTAAGGGAGTGTGTGACACAGCATTGAAAACCTATGTTTCCAGGAAAGTAAGGGGGTGTGTGACACAACATTGAAAACCTTTGTTTCCAGGATGGTAAGGGAGTGTGTGATACAGCATTGAAAACCTTTGTTTCCAGGATGGTAAGGGAATGTGACACAACATTGAAAACCTTTGTTTCCAGGATGGTAAGGGAATGTGACACAACATTGAAAACCTTTGTTTCCAGGATAGTAAGGGAATGTGACACAACATTGAAAACCTTTGTTTCCAGGATAGTAAGGGAGTGTGTGACACAGCATTGAAAACCTATGTTTCCAGGAAAGTAAGGGTGTGTGTGACACAACATTGAAAACCTTTGTTTCCAGGATGGTAAGGGGGTGTGTGACACAACATTGAAAACCTTTGTTTCCAGGATGGTAAGGGAGTGTGTGACACAACATTGAAAACCTTTGTTTCCAGGATGGTAAGGGAATGTGACACAACATTGAAAACCTTTGTTTCCAGGATGGTAAGGGAATGTGACACAACATTGAAAACCTTTGTTTCCAGGATGGTAAGGGGGTGTGTGACACAACATTGAAAACATTTGTTTCCAGGATGGTAAGGGAGTGTGTGACACAACATTGAAAACCTTTGTTTCCAGGATGGTAAGGGAATGTGACACAACATTGAAAACCTTTGTTTCCAGGATGGTAAGGGAATGTGACACAACATTGAAAACCTTTGTTTCCAGGATGGTAAGGGGGTGTGTGACACAACATTGAAAACATTTGTTTCCAGGATGGTAAGGGAATATGACACAACATTGAAAACCTTTGTTTCAAGTATGGTAAGGGAATGTGACACAACATTGAAAACCTTTGTTTCAAGTATGGTAAGGGAATGCATGACACAACATTAAATTTTTTTAAATAGGACAAACAGGGATAATAGTACTATATTCCAAAGCTATAAGGTACATTACAACACTGGAAGTGCTTTAACAATATAAGATCCTACTGTGTTATAATTGATACATATTCATGGTCCAGATGTGATAAGTTACTATTTTGCTTCAATTTTGCTTCATCTATATCCCATTTTATCAATCATATTCTATTCCCTATATTGTCAATCATAGTCCATATCCCATCTGGTCAATAATAGTCTATATCCAATCTTGTCAATCATGGTCTATATACCTTCTCTGTCAAAAATAATCTATAGTCATATTAATCTTCCACAGTGTTAAATGTACTCAGCCATGTCAACCATACCATGTCTAATTTTCATTCATATAAAGTACAACTCAAGTGTGTTATGAAATGTATACCATCTTGTCAATCTTATATACATATTGTCAATTAAGTAATGAACTGTATCACATATTGTCAAACAAGTATGGTATGAACTGTATCACATATTGTCAATCAAGTATGGGATGAACTGTATCACATATTGTCAATCAAGTATGGTATGAACTGTATCACATATTGTCAAACAAGTATGGTATGAACTGTATCACATATTGTCAAACAAGTATGGTATGAACTGTATCACATATTGTCAAACAAGTATGGTATGAACTGTATCACATATTGTCAAACAAGTATGGTATGAACTGTATCACTGACTGAGTTGGGTTTAACAATATTCCAGTTATATCGCGGCGTGTCAGCTTAATGTGGGAGGAAAGCCCAAAGTGATGCAGATCTCAGACGTTTACCACTTCGGTGAAACCCACGAGCACGGGTATGGTGCTGACAAACCTAGAAACATAATCGGGGCGAACCGGGATTCAAACCCACAATCTAGGTTTCTGGCGTGCCCAAGGGACGCAACTCTGCACAGCGAATTGTGGCGCCTTATACGACTGGGCCACCTGTGCCCGCTGAACTGTATCACATATTGTCAATCAAGTATGATACAAAATATAACCTATCCTATCTGCCATACAGGTATATCCAGTTTGATAAAACATGCATCCCACCCTCTCAATCCTACAGACATAATCCAGTATGATGTTACACACATCCCACCCTGTTAATGACCTACATTCCATGCTAAAACTAAAACCCCCTACAGCAGCCATACAAAGATGTAATGATACGCATAATAAAGTAAGTATCAAGACTGTCTTATTTAGCTATATGCAATAGAAACCACTTATGATTATATTCATCATATATACAATACTTTAAACCCTCATATTTTCAGCTTTATGTAATACTTATTTACAACTAATATACATAATGCATACAATATCAACACTGTCCAAACTGAAACGTACAACCAATTCATAAAAAGAGGATAATTCAGTCTCGAAAAACAGTGTCTTTTTTTAATAAAATAAATATTGTGTTCATGATATATAATTAGGGAAGCATCTATCTGAGATGTGATATATAAAGGAAGATGAGGTTTATTTCATCATCTGCCCTACTTCTGTCATCATTCAGCAACAATCTTAGCATGCCCTATTGTTTGTTGGGTACCTCCATTATAATATAGACCATGACATCACATGTCTGTTTCACTATGCAATCAACAATACCATTACATATGCATCAGGTTTTTCAGTAGGATGAATAACATGCTGAAAAACTCAATTGTAAAATGACAGCAGTGGACAGTTGTAAGCAATTATTTCTAAAATTAGATCATACACATGTCAATATGATCTGAATTCAATATGATGTAATTTTATATTTATACAAATTTCTGGTTCATATTAACATCAAATTTAATATACTTATACCATGCACTATTGACAACACACCTACACATCAATTTAGTCATATATATTAATTCAGTCCCACATATCAGTTTACTTGTATTTTTCAGCTCGAACTCTGAAACACAATATTCTCTTAGGTAAGGATGTTTTTTCCTTGAATAATCTATAACAGACATCTACACCAATAGTGTTGATTTCAACACACAACAAGCACATAGATATAAACACTGTCAATTTGACAGCTTCAACACTCTCAGAAACATAGAAAGAGGGACATATGTCACATGTTAATTTCATCAACAACATGTTAATTTCGTCAACAAGCATGTCAGTTCCAATAACTCCTACCTTCAACCACCTCTCCATTAGGAAATACGACAACCACCTTGTGTGTTTTACTGGACATGTAAATCCTGGGACGGTCAGGCCGTGGTTTCAGATCCATGTCAGACATGATTGTTTCTTAGTATATTCCTTGATCCTTCATGAAAAAACAACACCACAGGCTGAGTGGCATTAATTCTCCACAACCGTTATCCTCCGTACACAATACAATACTTTCCCCTGAAACACCAGCGTAGTACTCAGTGATTCAGGATTCCCCAACAATATCTATATCCATAGTTGTCATATTGCCAGTGGTGTCTCTCCTTATCGAATAGAATGGACAAAAAAATCCAGATAAACAGTCAGTGGGGGAGGTTTCAGCTCTCCTAGCTTGGCTTAAAGGACAGATACATTGGCTATATCTACTGCTAGGTGCGACCATCTTTGAGGCAGTATAATCCTAGCAACATCCTCCCTCGACTAAAGGAGACATGTTCCGTATGGCAAGCACTACACCTCTACACCAATCTCAGCCATATGTCTTGTTCTTCCTGGCCTCAAATCACCCTCTGAGGTCCGCAAGCACACCAACCCCTCACTGACACCAAACTCACATTAATTACCGAGAAATATAGAGAATATATCTCCCAATAGTCTCCAGGTAGTAAACAAGTCAGATATGGCTAAAGCCAGCCCAAATGAAAATGAGCCCTCGAATTCACTAATCTATCCCTGAGGGGAGCACACATGTTAATTACCAAGGAAGCAGCATACTCTCAGGTGTGCTGGGAACACTTCAGAGTTCGTGGGGGAGAAACAATATCCAAATATAAAATATCCACAAGGATAATCCTACCCTCTATGAAACATGTGGCCGACGAATTTAATGAGCACCCAAAAGCAGCACATCCTTAAAACTCTCGATGATTTTTCTCATTTTGGTAATGGAATTGCTGTCTCCATCACACTATCCGTGTTTCCTCTTCAAATATTTCCCCAATGTCCAAGGAATCATGGCTGACGGTCTCTCCCTATAACAACAGCAGACGTGAAATCCGTCTGTTAATTTTCTAAGCTTGCATTACAGTAGAGCTCACAGTGGAGGGACCGCAAGGCTGGTGAGTTAGTGAGTACGCTTGTTGCGGCCTAGCCGCCTCTGTGTATGTATTCAGTTGAAACCAAGCTAGTTGCTATTTCGACGGTTCCGTGGGCATTATCCAATGTTGGCCAATTAAGAAAAGCAGCATGGGAGTTCTGAGACGATATGACGGCCCGATTTCTATAGTCACTGACTCTGTCGTGAGACACACATAGAGAATTCCTTTATCCCATGTTTGTGTATATACACACCGAGATGTATTGCCGATCATCAATACCAACCCAAGCTGTATAGCCGACTGACTGTAGGGCTGGTCACCAATGGCCTAGTGCCTTGTGCTTAGTGTAGCGTTTACTAGCTCCCAGTTTAGCAGGAACAGCTCCATGTTATCACAAATGGCACACTGCTTATCCTCATAGTCTTTTCTAACACAGCTGGGGTAATGGATTCACACAAGTGGCCCAGAGTGTACAGTGGCATATTTAACACAGTTGCGGTTTACGAAGTTCATAGGAGTTTTTGAAATGGCAGGTGATCTAGACTTTGATCTGGTTTGTTGTCAATCAAGTTATTGTAAATATTTACTTCAGTTACCTTGACCGGTTTTGTTACTTCAAGTTGATATAACTGAAGTGCGATATTGATATGGATCTCAAGCATGTTTATCAAAGTTATTACTATCATATTGCAAAACATTTGATAGTATTTGAGAAATAGGAATTTAAAATTAGTAAGTTATTTACTCAGAAGGATGTTTTATTTTATTTGCAGAGTGATTTTCATATTTATTATTTTGTTAAAAACCATTGTGTTTGTTTTTCCCTTACAGGTATGGCAAATAAATGACTTCTCTGTGGGGATCTATACAATAGTGTCTTATTCTGCAGCTTCACAATATACTTTTTATCACAACTAAATAAGTACAATAAACAATTATCAAAATATCAAACTAAAGTTTTATCTATCCAAAACTAAGACAAGGTCTGTCAGAGAAAGAAAGATTTCAACAATTTATTAAATAGAAAGCAAGAAAACACATCTGAGACTGAACAGATCATGTAACAAATACAAAACTCAATATCAACCCCAAAACTCGGAATATAGAAGATTGTTCATCTGTTATAGTGCCGAGTAGAAAGGATTGTATTCCATGATAAAGCCTGAAACAGATATGTATATGATGCTGGCCCCTTGGTGTGAAAACTTATGAATAATTAGTGTAATTCTATAAACACCAGGTTCAGCTGATGGCCTGTCAATCACACTGACAGAGTGAAAGAATACTGCCTATGTTCACAGCTACTTAACAGACAATGTCTACATCATAAACATCGCTTGGGGTGGATATCGGTAGGAGATGATGTTGGGTCGGGGTGGGTGGATATTGGAGTGGTGTGAAGGAGAGGGCATGGCAGTGGGCATGGGGTGGGTGAGGTTGAGGGTGTAGAACATGATGTAGGGTCGGGGTGGGTAGCTAATGGAGTGGTGTGAAGGAGAGGGCATGGCAGTGGGCATGGGGTCGGAGTCAAGGAGAGGGTGTAGGAGATGATGTAGGGTCGGGGTGGGTGGATAATGGAGTGGTGTGAAGGAGAGGGCACAGCAGTGGGCATGGGGTGGGTGAGTGGGTGGGTGTAGGAGATGATGTAGGGTCGGGGTGGGTAGCTAATGGAGTGGTGTGAAGGAGAGGGCATGGCAGTGGGCATGGGGTGGGTGAGGGAGAGGGTGTAGGACATGATGTAGGGTCGGGGTGGGTAGCTAATGGAGTGGTGTGAAGGAGAGGGCATGGCAGTGGGCATGGGGTGGGTGAGGGGGTGGGTGAGGGGGTGGGTGAGGGAGAGGGTGTAGGAGATGATGTAGGGTCGGGGTGGGTAGCTAATGGAGTGGTGTGAGGGAGAGGGCATGGCAGTGGGCATGGGGTGGGTGAGGGGGTGGGTGAGGGAGAGGGTGTAGGAGATGATGTTGGGTCGGGGTGGGTAGCTAATGGAGTGGTGTCAAGGTGAGGGCCCAGCAGTGGGCATGGCATGGGTGAGGGAGAGGGTGTAGGAGATGATGTTGGGTCGGGGTGGGTGGCTAATGGAGTGGTGTCAAGGTGAGGGCCCAGCAGTGGGCATGGCATGGGTGAGGGAGAGGGTGTAGGAGATGATGTAGGGTCGGGGTGGGTAGCTAATGGAGTGGTGTGAAGGAGAGGGCATGGCAGTGGGCATGGGGTGGGTGAGGGGGTGGGTGAGGGGGTGGGTGAGGGAGAGGGTGTAGGAGATGATGTTGGGTTGGGGTGGGTGGATAATGGAGTGGTGTGAGGGAGAGGGCATGGCTGTCGGCATGGGGTGGGTGAGGGAGAGGGTGTAGGAGATGATGTAGGGTCGGGTCAGGTTGGGGTGGGTGGATATTGGAGTGGTGTGAAGGCGAGGGCACGGCAGTGGGCATGGGATGGGGGAGGGAGAGGGTGTAGGAGATGATGTAGGGTCGGGGTGGGTAGCTAATGGAGTGGTGTGAAGGAGAGGGCATGGCAGTGGGCATGGCAGTGGGCATGGGGTCGGAGTCAAGGAGAGGGTGTAGGAGATGATGTAGGGTCGGGGTGGGTAGCTAATGGAGTGGTGTGAAGGAGAGGGCATGGCAGTGGGCATGGCAGTGGGCATGGGGTGGGTGAGGGAGAGGGTGTAGGAGATGATGTAGGGTCGGGGTGGGTAGCTAATGGAGTGGTGTGAAGGAGAGGGCATGGCAGTGGGCATGGCAGTGGGCATGGGGTGGGTGAGGGAGAGGGTGTAGGGTCGGGGTGGGTAGCTAATGGAGTGGTGTGAAGGAGAGGGCATGGCAGTGGGCATGGGGTCGGAGTCAAGGAGAGGGTGTAGGAGATGATGTAGGGTCGGGGTGGGTAGCTAATGGAGTGGTGTGAGGGAGAGGGCATGGCAGTGGGCATGGGGTGGGTGAGGGAGAGGGTGTAGGACATGATGTAGGGTCGGGGTGGGTAGCTAATGGAGTGGTGTGAAGGAGAGGGCATGGCAGTGGGCATGGCAGTGGGCATGGGGTGGGTGAGGGAGAGGGTGTAGGGTCGGGGTGGGTAGCTAATGGAGTGGTGTGAAGGAGAGGGCATGGCAGTGGGCATGGCAGTGGGCATGGGGTGGGTGAGGGAGAGGGTGTAGGAGATGATGTAGGGTCGGGGTGGGTAGCTAATGGAGTGGTGTAAAGGAGAGGGCATGGCAGTGGGCATGGCAGTGGGCATGGGGTGGGTGAGGGAGAGGGTGTAGGAGATGATGTAGGGTCGGGGTGGGTAGCTAATGGAGTGGTGTGAAGGAGAGGGCATGGCAGTGGGCATGGCAGTGGGCATGGGGTGGGTGAGGGAGAGGGTGTAGGGTCGGGGTGGGTAGCTAATGGAGTGGTGTGAAGGAGAGGGCATGGCAGTGGGCATGGCAGTGGGCATGGGGTGGGTGAGGGAGAGGGTGTAGGAGATGATGTAGGGTCGGGGTGGGTGGATATTGGAGTGGTGTGAAGGAGAGGGCATGGCAGTGGGCATGGGGTCGGAGTCAAGGAGAGGGTGTAGGAGATGATGTAGGGTCGGGGTGGGTAGCTAATGGAGTGGTGTGAGGGAGAGGGCATGGCAGTGGGCATGGGGTGGGTGAGGGAGAGGGTGTAGGACATGATGTAGGGTCGGGGTGGGTAGCTAATGGAGTGGTGTGAGGGAGAGGGCATGGCTGTCGGCATGGGGTGGGTGAGGGAGAGGGTGTAGGACATGATGTAGGGTCAGGTCAGGTTGGGGTGGGTGGATATTGGAGTGGTGTAAAGGTGAGGGCACGGCAGTGGGCATGGGGTGGGAGTCAGGGAGAGGGTGACGAAGGGTGGGTGAGGGTGAAGCGAGGGAAAGGAAGGGGGTGTGGTGAGGGAGAGGTATTGGAGTGGTGTCAAGGCGAGGGCATGGCAGTGGGCGTGGCAGTCGGCTCGGGGTGGGTGAGGGGGTGGGTGAGGGAGAGGGTGTAGGACATGATGTAGGGTCGGGGTGGGTGGATATTGGAGTGGTGTGAAGGAGAGGGCATGGCAGTGGGCATGGGGTTGGAGTCAGGGAGAGGGTGACGAAGGGTGGACGAGGGTGAAGAGAGGGAAAGGAACGGGGTGTGGTGAGGGAGAGGTATTGGTGTCAAGGTGAGGGCATAGCAGTGGGCGTGGGTGGGTGAGGGAGAGGGTGTAGGAGATGATGTAGGGTCGGGGTGGGTGGATATTGGAGTGGTGTGAAGGAGAGGGCATGGCAGAGGGCATGGCAGTGGGCGTGGCAGTCGGCTCGGGGTGGGTGAGGGGGTGGGTAAGGGAGAGGGTGTAGGACATGATGTAGGGTCGGGGTGGGTGGATATTGGAGTGGTGTGAAGGAGAGGGCATGGCAGTGGGCATGGGGTGGGTGAGGGGGAGGGTGTAGGACATGATGTAGGGTCAGGGTGGGTGGATATTGGAGTGGTGTGAAGGAGAGGGCATGGCAGTGGGCATGGCAGTGGGCATGGGGTGGGTGAGGGAGAGGGTGTAGGACATGATGTAGGGTCAGGGTGGGTGGATATTGCAGTGGTGTGAAGGAGAGGGCATGGCAGTGGGCGTGGGCTGGGTGAGGGAGAGACTGACGAAGGGTGGACGAGGGTGAAGAGAGGGAAAAGAAGGGGGGGTGGTGAGGGAGAGGGATTGGAGTGGTGTCAAGGTGAGGACACAGCAGTTGGCGTGGGCTGGGTGAGGGAGAGACTGACGAAGGGTGGACGAGGGTGAAGAGAGGGAAAAGAAGGGGGTGTGGTGAGGGAGAGGGATTGGAGTGGTGTCAAGGTGAGGGCACAGCAGTGGGCGTGGGGTGGTTGAGGGGGTGGGTGAGGGAGAGGGTGTAGGAGATGATGTAGGGTCGGGTGGATATTTGAGAGGTAGTTGGAGATGACGAAAGGTGGGTGAGGGTGAAGAGAGGGAAAGGAAGGGTGTGTGGTGAGGGAGAGGGAGAGGAAGGGGGTGTGGTGAGGGAGAGGGAAAGGAAGGGGGGGTGGTGAGGGAGAGGAAAGGGGAGAGGGTGTGGAGAGGGAGAGAAAGTGGGTGTGGGAGACAATGTTGAGGTAGAGTGGGTAGCATACAGGAATTATTTTCGTTGACTACAATATGACCTAGCCTCAAACACACATTAATATTAACTTTACACTAAGTTACATTGAATGAGTTCATGGAAGGACCATGGAAATAAAAAGGTTACAGTTTTAGAGATCTACTTTAATAGATTTCTTGAAAGGAAATCAGGAAATAATAAATTTGCCTTTCATATTTTTCACAAGTTATAACACGGTTCTCTTTTAACCTAAAAGCTAGGTTCAACACAGGCTCTGTTATATGTAAGGTTCATTTACATGAACAAATTTGGTCTAATCATATCAATATTTATTCAAGTTATCACCTGGAAACCAAATATATTACCAGGCTGTGTGACAGTGTAAAAAATCGACAACTGTGTTAATAGCCATGCACCATGCAACGCTCTACTGATCATCAAGCAGCCAAGAGATAAAAGGGAACATGACTT